AATCTGAAAACATAAGCCTGTTATGCAGCACTGCCTGCTGAGCTCCTCAATTAATGCTGGAAAATCACATCAGTAAAATTAAATATGATCATCTACACAGTCAAAACCCTTTCCTTCATCATAACTGCTCTCACAGTGAACTCAGCACAAACAATTACCTGCAGTGTCATTTCCTCTGCATGATCAGACTTTCTTATTGCAGATTTTCTTTTTATGCAGACTGTATCGGTTTATCTTTGATATGCAGTGGAACTTCTTCAGCAGTGACACTGTTGTCAGCAGTGCAAACAAAGAGTTGATTACAGGGAAGAATTATCTAGATTGCCTGTCTCTTTTAGAATTCAGAGATATCACAGCACCAAAGAAGAAAAGAAGGGACTCGCCCGGCACACACTTGTTTACGAGATAATATCTTTTACGATAAGTCTCTGTTCCTAAGCCCCGCCCCAAACAATATAAATGTATATGAGGAAAATCTAGGCCAAGTTTGAGTCAGAATTTCAATAGACTGCATTTTGTTTAGACTTGCAGTTTTTGGCATCAAACACCAGACCCAGAATATCAATCACTCTCTTATTCTTATGTCTCCACCGCATGTTTGGAATGAAACACTAGTTTGCTCTTTGGAGGAAAAAAACTGTACAGAAATCCCTGCTAGAGGCAAATGTCACATTTTTTCCTCTCAGCTTCATAAATTATTTCTCTGATATGAAGTACTGGTGATTTATTTTCTTCCGCCTCTCGCTTTCTCCTACTGCTACGAATACCTCGACATTTGGGAGACCTCCGTGACCTTTCAGTACATTAAACAGAAACATTAACTGCTGTTTTGCTTGCTGATTCATTTCACTCTGTCATTGAAATGATGCTCTGAAATGGTTCGGACTAAACAAAAATGAAACGTGATGATAGATCATAACGTGTTGGATTTATTGGGCGTAATGGGTCGGTGTTTACGGGCAGAATGATGAACCGTTAAAGCCGGAGTGTCAGCTGTGTGTTGTGAGCTCCCAGCTTCCTTCAGAGAGCTTCCAGGAAGCTTTGTTAGTCGTGTTGAAGAAGAATAAATGATGAGTCTGTGAGAAGAGAGGTCAGCCATGGAACCAGTTCAAATGAAAGCACTCTGATTATTTCAGCTTCTGAGAGCTACAGCTGCATACTGATTTTTAATCAGTTGAGATTTTGCCTCCAAGTAGAACTAGGACATTTTCCCTCTTGGGTTATTAAGAAATTATTTTTGGTTTTGGGCCCTTATAGTTTGTAAAACACAGACTCCTCTGAGAATAGAGAGGCTACTGGGTGCAGAATTATTTAAAAGTGCTAGAATGGCAGGCTGCATTTGAATGAAACCCCTCAGAAGCTTATTTCAGCCCTCACAGCTGATTGACTCCTGGCTCAGCCTCATTAGTGAGTTTGGAGAGGAAATTTTTGTGCAGGTGGAGTGGAGAGGGAGTTTCACAGAGTATGAAGGCCAAATGCGCCGCATCTCATGACAACACCAAGGACACTGTTGTGCCGACTGCAGAACCACAGCAAAGCCCTTGGCTCATATAAAATGCAGCTTCACATAATGAGAGTGAGTTGAAAAGTCATAAACCAACCTGATAATGAGGCTTTCCCTCAATATCTGTGACAATTTTCCTATAAGACTCATCTGTGCGTTTAATAGACAACAAACATCTGTGCTGTTTGAGTCTAATCTATGTGGTAATTGCTAGAAGAGGACCGAGTGAGGGAATCTCACTTTTCTATTTTTTTTGTCAATAGCCATTAAAGTTTTTAGAGAGGTAATAAGATAGTTATTCATTACAGTATGCATTACCGCCATAATTCAACTGCTGATATTAAAGAGTAGTTACAGGACTGCTACCCAGTGAAAACCATGTGCTGCAGCTTTTCTGTTAGTTATGTAGGTCTGGTGTTGGACTGCCTTGCACTGCTGGGCTGCTGTAATAAGCTTGAGCTGCTCCATGACCCAGAACAGGACAAAGCAGAGAAGTTGGTGTCCAGATGAATTATGCAACACAAAAAGATGTTTCACCATGGCTCTCACTTCAGTTTCCCATTTGCTCATGAAGACAGCAGCATGACAGATCTCCCAGAGGACTACTCAGAGGTCTGATAGCAACTTTTTTGGTGCTAACCAGGCTTGACATTTAATTGAAAAGTAACCCTTTACCAATGGAATTGGGTCAAATAAAAGCCGCCAAACATGACACAATGTACATCTGTGCATATATGTTCTTTTAAGGTCCAGTAAAAATCACTTACATACCCTGTTTTTTCACCTTTTCTTGGCAAATTTACTCATGATGAAGACAAAGATAGTGACATGTCTCTAAATAAAGTAAAATTTTCCAGTGCAGATTGGAGACAACCCATAGAAGCACTGATTTGATCTCATTTCAGAGAAAAATAGAACAGGTCAGATGCACCTAATAAATAAAATTACTAACAAACTCAGGAATCTTTCTTTGCTTCACTGTTCTGGTGCTGAGAATATCACTAATGCGGATCAACGGAGATCCACAGATGAATGCACCTCTTATTTATTATTTGGAGACTACATTTACTGCAGCTGGCAGAGGCAGAGATTTTTTCTATTGATACACAGAATTTACAGAATCATTTTAAATGTTAATAGGGGAAGACTGCAGGAGGGAGCAGTAAAATACAGGGGGTCCCCAGCAAAAACGAGTCTGATGAAACCCGCTGGTTTTCCATCAGGCAGTCACGGGGCAGCTCCAACGACCCAGAGGCTGTGCTGGGTCAGTTATCGAGCTCAGTCCGGTACCGGCTCGGACGTGAACGAGCCGTGGCGACGTCGTGCTCTGCTTAAGAAGAAGCGTCATTTTCCCGCTTCAGAAGAAGCGTCCAGCGTGTTTTTACGCTTTCTCCGAGACATGTCACGTCGCTAAGTTGTTAGCGCCGCACGCTAACACGTCAATAGTGCAGCGTAGCCTGCTGGAGGTTTTAAGGGTTCAGATGAAACACCCGACCTCTCAGGCTGCTCACGCATCGATCTTAAGTTGTTGCTTTTGCGCTCACGCCGTAATACAGGATTAGATGTGGTTAAAGTCAGACATGAAAAAATAAATTTTACATGAATAAGTGATGATTAGCCTGGTGGGGGGAGGAGAACCTGGCCTAATAAGCACTGGAGGAAACCCTGTCAAGATCATCAACACTCGTTTATCTTAATGCTGCTGAAACATGTAAACCATAAAGCATTATATCCACTGCTACCTTTCTAATTTTAAACTCAGTAACTTATGCTGTAACTTCACCCTGCCCTGCCTGCTCCTCCTTGCTGCCCGCCGGCTGTGATCACAAGCGACAACATAGTAGTTCCTGCTGCTTCTTCGGGAAACAGCGCCAAAAATAAATAAATAAATAAATAAATAAATACAACTTGGGATCTTGTAGGTGTGGCAGTAAGATTTCAGCCGTGGCGGGCCGCCACGGCTACGCCTATGTAAGGGAAACCCTGTAATGCAGATGATGTTCATAATGATGATGATGATGGTTAATGATAATACTGATGATACTGATGTTGACAGTGATGATGACGATGATCACAGTGATAATAATGATGATAATGATGATGGTAAATGGTAAATGGTCTGTATTTGATATAGCGCCTTCTAGAGTCCTGGAACCCCCCAAGGTGCTTTACAACACAACCAGTCATTCACCCATTCATACCCACATTCACACACTGATGGTGATGAGCTACGATGTAGCCACAGCTGCCCTGGGGCGCACTGACAGAGGCGAGGCTGCCGAGCACTGGCACCACCAATCCCTCCCACCACCACCAGCAGGCAACGTGGGTCAAGTGTCTTGCCCAAGGACACAACGACAGACTGAGCGGGGCTCGAACCTGCAACCTTCCGATTACGGGGCGAGCACTTAACTCCTGTGCCACTGTCGCCCGCAATGATGATGATGATCACAGTGATGATAATGATGATGATGATCACAGTGAATCACTGTGATCATCATCATCATCATTATAATCACTGTGATTATAATGATGATGATGATGATCACAGTGATGATAATGATGATGATGATCACAGTGAATCACTGTGATCATCATCATCATCATTATAATCACAGTGATTATAATGATGATGATGATGAACACAGTGATGATAATCACAGTGATGATAATGATGATGATGATTACAGTGATGATGATGATGATCAGTGATGATAATCACAGTGATGATAATGATGATGATGATCACAGTGATGATAATGATGATGATGATGATGATCACAGTGAATCACTGTGATCATCATCATCATCATCATCATCATTATAATCATAGTGATTATAATGATGATGATGATGAACACAGTGATGATAATCACAGTGATGATAATGATGATGATGATTACAGTTATGATGATGATGATGATGATGATCAGTGAGGATAATCACAGTGATGAGGATGATGATGATGATCACAGTGAATCACTGTGATCATCATCATCATCATTATAATCACAGTGATTATAATGATGATGATGATGATCACAGTGAATCACTGTGATCATCATCATCATCATTATAATCACTGTGATTATAATGATGATGATGATGATCACAGTGATGATAATGATGATGATGATGATCACAGTGAATCACTGTGATTATCATCATCATCATTATAATCATAGTGATTATAATGATGATGATGATGAACACAGTGATGATAATCACAGTGATGATAATGATGATGATGATTACAGTGATGATGATGATGATCAGTGATGATAATCACAGTGATGATAATGATGATGATGATCACAGTGATGATAATGATGATGATGATGATGATCACAGTGAATCACTGTGATCATCATCATCATCATCATCATCATTATAATCATAGTGATTATAATGATGATGATGATGAACACAGTGATGATAATCACAGTGATGATAATGATGATGATGATTACAGTTATGATGATGATGATGATGATGATCAGTGAGGATAATCACAGTGATGAGGATGATGATGATCACAGTGATGATAGACCACAGGTGGGAGGGAGATCTTGGGAGGAACGCAGAGCACATTGGGTTTTCACAGCATCTGTCTGCATTCCTTCCTTCGTGGGGGTTGTTGTTTTTGGCATCTTGAAGGCTGCCTTGGCGTCAGATTTGGACAGCAAGACTTTGTTTGGGTCAGGCTGAGATAATTTTCCTCTCTGCCTTCAGTCTGTAACTGGTCGTTCCAGTCCCTCATTGAAGCCAATTTAGGCTTTAAACATCTCCACACCGTCCGGTGACCCTCTCCGAGATGACATCCATTTTGCGCACTAACACCGGTAACGCAGCTAAGACATTGTCCAGCTTACGATTCACCTCGAGTAACATCCCAGTCTGTGAGGTCTCCACACGGGCGGTGCTTCCCATGGGTGCGGGTCGCCGTCCAATCGCTCCCGTGTTCCCAAATTTCCAGAAAATCAGATATCCTCCCACTCCAATCAGAAGAAATCCAGTGATCATCAGGCCAAATATCCACATATCTTCGACGTCCTCAATGGACAGCTGAGAGAGACATACAATCCTCCACACCTTCCAGGAATCGAGTGCATATCCCGCTGCGTGTGTCCCTTGCGGGCAAGTGGGATCCCCCTCCTCCGTTCTCATCGTAGAAATTATCTTATCAATCGCATTGAATGACCAATTAATTAAATCCATTTCTAAAAAAATAGGGATTTCCAGAAGAAATGCAGAGAAGCGCTCTGTAGGCAGACAGGACAAAGAGCCTTGGGAAAAAAGAGAAGGGAGCAAAGCAGAAGCGTCTGTACTCTGCGAGTGCCGGAAGAAGAAGGTGATGATACTGATGTTGATAGTGATGATGTTGATGACGATGACGACAACAATGATGATGCTGATGATAGTGATGTTGATAGTGATGATGTTGATGATGATGACGACAACAATGATGATGCTGATGATACTGATGTTGATAGTGATGATGTTGATGATGATGACGACAACAATGATGATGCTGATGATACTGATGTTGATAGTGATGATGTTGATGATGATGACGACAACAATGATGATGCTGATGATACTGATGTTGATAGTGATGATGTTGATGATGATGACGACAACAATGATGATGCTGATGATACTGATGTTGATAGTGATGATGTTGATGATGATGACGACAACAATGATGATGCTGATGGTACTGATGTTGATAGTGATGATGTTGATGATGATGACGACAACAATGATGATGCTGATGGTACTGATGTTGATAGTGATGAAGTTGATGATGATGACGACAACAATGATGATGCTGATGGTACTGATGTTGATAGTGATGATGTTGATGATGACGACAACGATGCTGATGATACTGATGTTGATAGTGATGAAGTTGATGATGATGACGACAACAATGATGATGCTGATGGTACCGATGTTGATAGTGATGATGTTGATGATGATGACGACATCAGTGATGATGCTGATGGTACTGATGTTGATAGTGATGAAGTTGATGATGATGACGACAACAATGATGATGCTGATGGTACTGATGTTGATAGTGATGATGTTGATGATGATGACGACAACAATGATGATGCTGATGATACTGATGTTGATAGTGATGATGTTGATGATGATGACGACAACAATGATGATGCTGATGATACTGATGTTGATAGTGATGATGTTGATGATGATGACGACAACAATGATGATGCTGATGATACTGATGTTGATAGTGATGATGTTGATGATGATGACGACAACAATGATGATGCTGATGGTACTGATGTTGATAGTGATGATGTTGATGATGATGACGACAACAATGATGATGCTGATGGTACTGATGTTGATAGTGATGAAGTTGATGATGATGACGACAACAATGATGATGCTGATGATACTGATGTTGATAGTGATGATGTTGATGATGATGACGACAACAATGATGATGCTGATGGTACTGATGTTGATAGTGATGATGTTGATGATGACGACAACAATGATGATGCTGATGATACTGATGTTGATAGTGATGATGTTGATGATGATGACGACAACAATGATGATGCTGATGGTACTGATGTTGATAGTGATGATGTTGATGATGACGACAACGATGCTGATGATACTGATGTTGATAGTGATGAAGTTGATGATGATGACGACAACAATGATGATGCTGATGGTACCGATGTTGATAGTGATGATGTTGATGATGATGACGACATCAGTGATGATGCTGATGGTGCTGATGTTGATAGTGATGAAGTTGATGATGATGACGACAACAATGATGATGCTGATGGTACCGATGTTGATAGTGATGAAGTTGATGATGATGACGACAACAATGATGATGCTGATGGTACTGATGTTGATAGTGATGAAGTTGATGATGACGACAACGATGCTGATGATACTGATGTTGATAGTGATGATGATACTGATGTTGATAGTGATGAAGTTGATGATGATGACGACAACAATGATGATGCTGATGATACTGATGTTGATAGTGATGATGTTGATGATGATGACGACAACAATGATGATGCTGATGATACTGATGTTGATAGTGATGATGTTGATGATGATGACGACAACAATGATGATGCTGATGGTACTGATGTTGATCGTGATGATATTGTTGATGATGACGACAACGATGCTGATGACACTGATGCTGATAGTGTTGATGATACTGATGATACTGATGTTGATAGTGATGATGTTGTTGATGATGACAACAACGATGCTGATGCTGATGATACTGATGTTGATAGTGATGATGATACTGATGGTACTGATGTTGATCGTGATGGTATTGTTGATGATGATGACAACAATGCTGATGATACTGATGTTGATAGTGATGACGACAACAATGATGATGCTGATGATACTGATGTTGATAGTGATGATGTTGTTGATGATGACGACAATGATGATGATGCTGATGATACTGACGTTGATAGTGATGATGTTGTTGATGATGACGACAATGATGATGATGCTGATGATACTGACGTTGATAGTGATGATGTTGATGATGATGACGACAACAATGATGATGCTGATGATACTGATGTTGATAGTGATGATGTTGATGATGATGACAACAATGATGATGCTGATGATACTGATGTTGATAGTGATGATGTTGTTGATGATGACGACAACGATGATGATGCTGATGATACTGATGTTGATAGTGATGAAGTTGATGATGATGACGACAACAATGATGATGCTGATGGTACTGATGTTGATAGTGATGATGATACTGATGTTGATAGTGATGACGACAACAATGATGATGCTGATGATACTGATGTTGATAGTGATGATGTTGTTGATGATGACGACAATGATGATGATGCTGATGATACTGATGTTGATAGTGATGACGACAACAATGATGATGCTGATGATACTGATGTTGATAGTGATGATGTTGTTGATGATGACGACAACAATGATGATGCTGATGATACTGACGTTGATAGTGATGATGTTGATGATGATGACGACAACAATGATGATGCTGATGATACTGATGTTGATAGTGATGATGTTGATGATGATGACAACAATGATGATGCTGATGATACTGATGTTGATAGTGATGATGTTGTTGATGATGACGACAACGATGATGATGCTGATGATACTGATGTTGATAGTGATGAAGTTGATGATGATGACGACAACAATGATGATGCTGATGGTACTGATGTTGATAGTGATGATGATACTGATGTTGATAGTGATGACGACAACAATGATGATGCTGATGATACTGATGTTGATAGTGATGATGTTGTTGATGATGACGACAATGATGATGATGCTGATGATACTGACGTTGATAGTGATGATGTTGATGATGATGACGACAACAATGATGATGCTGATGATACTGATGTTGATAGTGATGATGTTGATGATGATGACAACAATGATGATGCTGATGATACTGATGTTGATAGTGATGATGTTGTTGATGATGACGACAACGATGATGATGCTGATGATACTGATGTTGATAGTGATGAAGTTGATGATGATGACGACAACAATGATGATGCTGATGGTACTGATGTTGATAGTGATGTTGTTGATGATGACGACAACGATGATGATGCTGATGGTACCGATGTTGATAGTGATGAAGTTGATGATGATGACGACAACAATGATGATGCTGATGGTACTGATGTTGATAGTGATGATGTTGATGATGACGACAACGATGCTGATGATACTGATGTTGATAGTGATGATGATACTGATGTTGATAGTGATGAAGTTGATGATGATGACGACAACAATGATGATGCTGATGATACTGATGTTGATAGTGATGATGTTGATGATGATGACGACAACAATGATGATGCTGATGATACTGATGTTGATAGTGATGATGTTGATGATGATGACGACAACAATGATGATGCTGATGGTACTGATGTTGATCGTGATGATATTGTTGATGATGACGACAACGATGCTGATGACACTGATGCTGATAGTGATGATGTTGTTGATGATACTGATGCTGATAGTGTTGATGATACTGATGATACTGATGTTGATAGTGATGATGTTGTTGATGATGACAACAACGATGCTGATGCTGATGATACTGATGTTGATAGTGATGATGATACTGATGGTACTGATGTTGATCGTGATGGTATTGTTGATGATGATGACAACAATGCTGATGATACTGATGTTGATAGTGATGATGATACTGATGTTGATAGTGATGACGACAACAATGATGATGCTGATGATACTGATGTTGATAGTGATGATGTTGTTGATGATGACGACAATGATGATGATGCTGATGATACTGACGTTGATAGTGATGATGTTGATGATGATGACGACAACAATGATGATGCTGATGATACTGATGTTGATAGTGATGATGTTGATGATGATGACAACAATGATGATGCTGATGATACTGATGTTGATAGTGATGATGTTGTTGATGATGACGACAACGATGATGATGCTGATGATACTGATGTTGATAGTGATGATGATACTGATGTAACTGATGTTGATAGTGATGATGATATTGATGTAACTGATGTTGATAGTGATGATGATACTGATGTTGATAGTGATGATGATACTGATGGTACTGATGTTGATCGTGATGATATTGTTGATGATGACGACAACGATGCTGATGCTGATGATACTGATGTTGATAGTGATGATGATACTGATGCTGATAGTGATGATGTTGATGATGATGATGACAACAATGATGATGCTGATGATACTGATGTTGATAGTGATGATGTTGTTGATGATGACGACAACGATGATGATGCTGATGATACTGATGTTGATAATGATGATGATACTGATGGAACTGATGTTGATAGTGATGATATTGTTGATGATGACGACAACGAAGCTGATGATACTGATGTTGATAGTGATGATATTGTTGATGATGACGACAACGAAGCTGATGATACTGATGTTGATAGTGATGATGATACTGATGTTGATAGTGATGATGTTGTTGATGATGACGACAACAATGATGATGCTGATGATACTGATGTTGATAGTGATGATGATACTGATGGAACTGATGTTGATAGTGATGATTTTGTTGATGATGACGACAACGATGCTGATGCTGATGATACTGATGTTGATAGTGATGATGATACTGATGGAACTGATGTTGATAGTGATGATGATACTGATGGAACTGATGTTGATATTGATGATATTGTTGATGATGACAACAGCGATGCTGATGGTGATGATACTGATGTTGATAGTGATGATGATACTGATGGTACTGATCTTGATCGTGATGATATTGTTGATGATGACGACAATGATGCTGATGCTGATGATACTGATGTTGATAGTGATGATATTGTTGATGATGACGACAACGAAGCTGATGATACTGATGTTGATAGTGATGATGATACTGATGTTGATAGTGATGATGTTGTTGATGATGACGACAACAATGATGATGCTGATGATACTGATGTTGATAGTGATGATGATACTGATGGAACTGATGTTGATAGTGATGATTTTGTTGATGATGACGACAACGATGCTGATGCTGATGATACTGATGTTGATAGTGATGATGATACTGATGGAACTGATGTTGATAGTGATGATGATACTGATGGAACTGATGTTGATATTGATGATATTGTTGATGATGACAACAGCGATGCTGATGGTGATGATACTGATGTTGATAGTGATGATGATACTGATGGTACTGATCTTGATCGTGATGATATTGTTGATGATGACGACAACGATGCTGATGATACTGATGTTGATAGTGATGATGATACTGATGTTGATATTGATGATGATACTGATGTTGATAGTGATGATGTTGATGATGATGACGACAACAATGATGATGTTGATGATACTGATGTTGATAGTGATGATGTTGATGATGATGATGACAACAATGATGATGCTGATGATACTGATGTTGATAGTGATGATGATACTGATGTTGATAGTGATGATGATACTGATGTTGATAGTGATGATGTTGATGATGATGACGACAACAATGATGATGCTGATGATACTGATGTTGATAGTGATGATGATACTGATGTTGATAGTGATGATGATACTGATGTTGATAGTGATGATGTTGATGATGATGACGACAACAATGATGATGCTGATGATACTGATGTTGATAGTGATGATGTTGATGATACTGATGTTGATAGTGATGATGCTGATGATACTGATGTTGATAGTGATGATGTTTATGATACTGATGTTAATAGTGATGATGCTGATGATACTGATGATGTTGATGATGATGACGACAACAATGATGATGCTGATGATACTGATGTTGATAGTGATGATGTTGATGATACTGATGTTGATAGTGATGATGCTGATGATACTGATGTTGATAGTGATGATGTTGATGATACTGATGTCGATAGTGATGATGTTGATGATACTGATGTCGATAGTGATGATGCTGATGATACTGATGTTTATAGTGATGATGTTGATGATGATGACGACAACAATGATGATGCTGATGATACTGATGTTGATAGTGATGATGTTGGTGATACTGATGTCGATAGTGATGATGCTGATGATACTGATGTTGATAGTGATGATGCTGATGATACTGATGTTGATAGTGATGATGTTGGTGATACTGATGTCGATAGTGATGATGCTGATGATACTGATGTTGATAGTGATGATGTTGATGATGATGACGACAACAATGATGATGCTGATGATACTGATGTTGATAGTGATGATGATGGTGATGATGACGACAACGATGATGATGCTGATGATAGTGATGTTGATAGTGATGATGTTGTTGATGATGACGATAACGATGATGATGCTGATGATAGTGATGTTGATAGTGATGATGTAGCGTTATGAATATTATAATTGTCTGCCCTTAACAGCTGCCCCTTCACACAGTAACATCGCCAAGGTCGGACGCTTGTTTCAGTATGTTTACATTCCAGGAGAAGAGACAGAAGAAGAGAAGAAGAACGCTTTCCATTAATTAATCAAAGTACTTTATTCGTGATAAAGCTAATCAGAGCATATGTTGATCATTAATAATCAGGTGAATGATCTGTGAAATAAAGATGTCATGAGTTATGTGTTTAATGAATAAACAGGACTGCACCAGACAGACTGATCTACATTACCATGGAAACGCATGACACATTGTTTTCAACCAATCAGAACTTTCGTCTGTCGTAGGGCAGAATCTGGGTTGTTTAATGAAAGTTGTCCAATCCGGTTTACTGAGATTTGTAAACAATTAGGGGATATAAAACAAGGCAACGCCATTTTATACTCAGTTCCATTTTAACCTCAGTTCTGTTCAATTGGAGGTCCTAAGGATTTCCATCGTCATCATTAAAGTTACTGAAAGAAGTGGAGCTCATGGCTCATTTTGATCCTGTCCTAAAGGAGCACGTTACCAAAGTGGAAGGAGGAGCGAACCACACATCATACCTTGGAAAAATCATCCAAAATGAAATCATTGACTGTATCAGTGAAAGGATTGTGGAGTCCATTGTGTCTGAAATTATACAGTCAAAATATTTTTCAATAATTTTAGACTGCACTCCAGATTTGAGTCACAAAGAGCAGTTGTCAGTGATTCTGAGAATTGTTTCAATTGAAGGTATTCCACAAATAAAAGAACACTTCCTTGGTTTCCTTGAAGCAGAAGAGACAACTGGAAAAGGCCTTTCAGAACTAATTTTAGGGAGACTTCAAGAGTTACACATCCCATTTGAGGACTGCAGGGGGCAGTCATATGATAACGGTGCAAACATGAAGGGGAAGAAAGCAGGTGTTCAAGCAAGATTACTACAACGAAACCCCCGAGCATTATTTGTGCCATGCGGAGCACACACTGTTAATTTAGTTATCTCAGATGCAGCAAAGAGCTCTGCAGATGCAACTGGATACTTTGGCTACCTACAGAAACTGTTCACTTTGTTTTCTGCTTCCACTAAAAGGTGGTCCATTCTACAAAAGCACGTGAACACAACTCTGAAATCCTGGGCAGAGACACGATGGGAGAGCCGAATTAACAGTGTGGCAGCTGTAAGGTTTCAGGCTGCCAAAGTTAGAGATGCCCTTATTGAGGTGAGAGACAGCACTGCAGACCCAATCATAAAAGTAGAAGCACAGTCTTTGGCTGAAGAAGTTGGTTCATACCGCTTCTGCATTTGCACTGTTGTCTGGTATGACATTCTGGTAACAGTCCAAAATGTCAATAAGCTGCTGCAGTCTGCAACCATGCACTTGGATGTTGCTGTAGACCTCCTGAAAAAAGTTGATGTCTCCCTTGCCAGTTACAGAAACACTGGTTTTGCTGATGCACAATCCTCAGAGATGAGTGTAGTTGCTACCCTAAAACAGATGAGGCTCAGAGTGACCAAAAGGCAATTTTCCTACGAGGCTCCCGATGAGCAGCTTAGTGATGCACTGAAGAGAATGGAAATTTCTTTCTTCAATGCAGTTGTTGATGTGTGCATTTCATCACTAAGAGAAAGAACAGAAATGATGGGTGACATTGCTAGCAAGTTTAGTGTTCTCACAAACTTCCCTGAGCTCCCAGCTGATGAGCTTGTGAACCAAGCAAAAAAACTGGCCAACACCCTGACCTTCGGAGATCAATCAGATTTGGATGCAGAAGAACTGATTGGGGAGATGCAATCTTTTCCAACCTGGCCGAAACACAAAATGACATCTCTTGAACTGTTGGTGTTTCTTGAGGAGAAAAACCTTAAGGAAGCATATCCCAATCTATGGATAGCACTGAGAATTGCTGCCACAACTCCAGTGACTGTGGCATCTGCTGAGAGAAGCTTCTCCAAGCTCAAGCTAATCAAGACATATTTGCGATCCACAATGTCTCAGGAACGTCTCAGTGGACTGGCAATAATAAGCATCAATCAGGAAGTGTCAAAACAAATTTCATTGGATGAAACCATAGATGCCTTTGCTGCTAGAAAGTCCAGACGAGTGCAGTTTTGAAAAACACTGGAAATGATAGTGAGGTTTTGGTGTTTGAGATGATCTTTTTGTGGAAATAACCCACAATCTTTTCCATCTTGGCCCAAACCTAAAATGACAGCACTATAACTTATCTTCCTTGAGGTGAGATTTTAGTGCTTCTCTGTTGTGTAAGAATCTTTTGATTGCCCACTGTGATATGTTTTTAAGTTTTATTTATAACAACATTGAACAAAATGGAAAGTAGAGCTTTCTTTATGACACTTTGATATTTGAGTTTTACTTTTGATTGCACAGTTTAATGCTGCTTTTGATTTTGCAATGACATTTGCACGACATTTTGAGTTGGATATTTTAATATTCTCAGGTTACTTTTCTTCAAGCTTACTTTTATTCTTCAGGCTGTTGCCTTTAAATAGTTGTTGTGTGAATATTTAAAATAAAAAAAATCAGTAATTAAGGGAAAATTGTGGAGTTGTTTTTCTCCAGTGTGTGGTGGGTGAACTTGGGTTTGGGTGAGAGGTGTGCAGGCACGGGGGGGCGGGGGGGGGGGGGGGGGGGCAAATGGGCACTCTCGCCTTGGGCACCAAATTACCTAGAGCCGGCCCTGACAACAGACTTGTAGAAGATCTGCAGCATCTTGCTACAGACTGGTCTTCTTGCCCAGAAATAAGCCACTGCAGAGCTGCTAATGTGATAAGGATGCAACCAGGGCCAAAACAGCTTTTACTCATGTGTAGAACATCAAGTCTTCATTTGTGCCTTTCATCCCAGATTCCATCCAGAAAAGTATTGTAGTAATCTAGAAGGAAGTCTTGTTTTTGGAGACAGGAGGAAGGAGATAGACCTTATATTTGCTGAAGTTTTCAGGTCTAACGGGAAATCCATAGTATTCCTGTGGGACGCAGAAACCAGCAGAGAACATTTCCACAAAATTTCCATAATTATCCGATTTGATATAACTGAGACGGAATAGCTCAACGGCAGAAAGACAAAATTCATAAATGTGACATAAGAGAAGTAAAGGGCAAATATGAACCATGTTTGCTGTTCAGGTGCCTTGTAACTGGGATGAAGTAAACATCTGTTGAGTATTTGAACTTTAAATTGTTTGATAGTGTTGAATTGGCAAGCCAAAACTATGTGGGTTCACCAGACCCACAAAGACTGAATAACTAAAATACAAACACCACACAAAGGTTAAAATCCAGTAAAGTCCAACTAATGCAGAAAACTTCATTTTGATGTAATATGTAATGAGTTAATTTACATGTTATTTCATGAGCCATAAGACATACGATTCCGTAGTAAATATGAAATCAACCTTACGGATCTGTGGGTACTTTTTAACCAGAAGATTGTAACTTTTTATTGCATGGATTATGTAACAGCTTCGTATTCACTCAGAGACAACAGAAGAGAGAGTCAAGTTTAAAAAGTTTAAAGATTTATTACTAAACAAATTAAAACTAGACTAACTTAAACACTAAGTGTATGGTTTAACTTAGGTGGAATGAGACAGAGAATGGTGTAGTGTGGAATGTTGTTCAGAACCAGCAAATCCGAAGAAAGGATTAGTTCTGGTGGGAAATGAAGGTGATGTCTTCTCGCTAAGCTTTGGTTAGGAGATTCATAAACACATTCAACGCCATTCTGTCGGTCTACGTACCCTTAGCGGAAGTCCCCGTTAGATCAGGAGGTGTAAAGGTCCAGCTTGACCTTGTGGAGCCGAAGCCTGTAGAAACAGCCACAGCAGCCGACCACCAGTCTTGAGATACTTCCGGGTCACAACAGTTTATCGGCATCTAACAAGACCCAAAACGAGGTTGTGATGGTTCAGCTTTTATTCTGAAAGGAACCATTGCAGCAGGTGGAACAGCAACAGATTTTATCCAGCTTGTCGTTGGTTCTTTCGGCTGAAGAGGAAAGTTACGGATTGGCCACTCCGACAACTTCTCTAGAACGCTTTGAACTGGTGTTAAAGATGACGTGGGCATATTTTAATACTTCAGATGTTTTGGTTTATGGTTGAATGAAAAGATGACAGATTTACCAAACACCACCAAAACCACGCCTCTGTCAGGTATGGCAGATTCTGATTGGATCAGTAAAAGCAATGTGTCATGTCTTGATGCTACATGAGATCAGTCCCTAGTGGAAACATTTAAAGTCATATTACTTATTATAATCTATAGGAATATAATAAAGTAATTAATATTTTGATTTCACAGATTGGTCACATCTTATTATTGAATAACACTTTGTTTGATTAGCTTTATTAAAAATAATGTTCTCTGATTTATTGAAAAGAGAGTCCTTTTCTTCATTCTTCTATTGGGCTGGAAAGGAAGCTGTTTAGAGCAAATGCATGAGACCTTGAGGCCATACCTCATGCAGATTAGTTTTGTGTCAGAGGAGAGGGGGAAAATGACTTTTAGGTGGAAAACAGTCATTTCATTCCGTAACAAATAATTTCTAACCAAACCTGACCAAACTTCCTGTTTGACACTGTTCATAGTTCCGATTATATCAACAAGACAGAACAATCAAACTTTTATTATACAGTGAAGATTCCAGGTGACAGATCTTGTCTTGGTTTACATGACCTGGTTTTTTAGATGAAAGTTAAAAGACAAACTAGCATTTTCCTCTTTTTGTAGTAGTAACAAACAGGTATTTTCTTGGTATCCATGACAGCTGGTTTGATGCACCTGCCTCTCTACCCTTATGAGGGTGGTTCTTTTTGCAAGCATTACATGGATGT